ACCTCTGGTTTGATGTCCAGCACAGAGATCTGGAGAAATGACAGAAGAACCCACTCCCATCCGGTTGGTTTGGTTTCACTGTACTGACAACCTCAGCTTGCCTTGTGGCCCATGAAAACGCCAGACGAAAAACACACAGGAGGAGAAATTCTGGTATTCTTTATCTAGGAATGGAATACCTGTGAGCAAATAACATACCTCAGTGGGGAAAACAGAGCGAGAGCAATAGCAGAAGCCTGTGTTGGCCTGCCCCTTTGGGGATGTAATTCTCATCGTCCAATGGCCTGCTGGGTATTTCTCATGGTGTCAGTCTAATCTTTTCATCCCCTGCTCAACTCTTGATCTTTTTCTGAAACGAGAATAACTGGAACTGAGAAAAAGTTGTAGAATTCTAGGAGGGAGAGTTGATTATAGAATTCAAGAGGCATGGTGGAAGATGAGAAAAACGGTATGAAGGCAAAGCATTTTGTTCTCTAGTAGGCAAATGTGTTCTCTCATTATTCCCATGCTTGGAAAAGCTACCATTTCAGGATTATTTCGAATCCTTGTTTTCTTAACCGTTCTGCACACCAATCAGTTAGAATATCAGACAGATGACACGTCCCCATCCACGGCAGTTTTTGCAGCTTGTTTCAGCCACCAACCACTGTGATGACATTGTCCCTAGCCCCGTGCTGCGTTTCCACTCTTTTCCAGCAGTTCCCCTCACTGTAGCTCGGACAATCCTCTGCTTCCCTCGCTCTGTCTCAGGCAGCCCCAGCATTTAGCAAATGGACTCAACCCCTTTTATCTTGCTGCAGGAAATTGGGATATTTTACTCTATTACCTCAGCTTCACTCCTGTAATTAGTCCATTAATAGCATTATTTCACATAACATCCCATTTTCTTGTATGCTGCTGTGGCCTTTGTTATATTATTTATTTTTCGGCTACGAATGACCTTTCACCTGCTAAAAGTGCTCCCACTTCCTGATCTTCGTCCCCAGTCCGAATCCTTCTGCAGCCCTGCACTTTGACCCAAAGCACGCCCTCTATTTTCACTTAGCCTTGTTTTCATCCCACTGCCAGGAGTACGGACGCAGCTCATGTTCGGGCTTGCTCTGCAACCATTTGTGCTCTGTCTCTCTCTTTCCAGAGATTGTGTGCACTCAATCACGTTTTAAGTTTGGTTTTAGAGTTTATTTCTCCCTCTTCTTTCCCCTTATTACCTCATGCCTTTCTTGCACTGACCTCTAACATATGAAAAGAAAACCTTCCTTCCATTTATCTCTCTACTCCCACATTCACGGTCCTCCTGTTATTCATTGATTTGCTCGAGTGGGCCCAGTAACATCTCCATTGTGAGACTTGTTACTGTGTCTGGCATATCGAATACGTCACGGGGAGCTTGCCAGGCTTTGCCATGTGGGCAAGATACACTTGCTAGCTTGCTGGGCTCTCCGAGAGGGGCGGAGGAATCAAACCCGGCTCGGCCATGTTGGCTGCGTGCAAAGCAGACGCCCTACCCACTGTGCTATCGCTCCAGCCCCATTGATTTTTGCATAATGCAGGTTGCCTCTCTGGGCCCAGGGAGCTTCCTAACATACTGGTAGCTGCGTCATCTAGTATCACACCTGTTATATCACACTGGGCGCTTTCCAGCTGATATTCCAGGCAATAAGCATTAGAGATCCAGAAAAAAAAATTGTTTTACATTTCAGAGCTGTAAAATATCTTTCATTCCCTACCCTTTCCCTGAACAATACTGTTTTAGAGTTTGCATCATCAACATTTGGAAATGAGGGGCAGAATTTTGTACTGTCTTTTCACACAAAGGTGATACAACCATCTGATTTTCAAAAATAGGAAGACTTACAGGGGATTCTCTGCTTAGGCATATATATACACACACGTATATACACACACACACATATATACATACATATATGATATACTTGGTATATTATGGTGTACTTGTTATAATTGGGGCCATGTGGTTCAGTGGGATGCAACACATGTTTTGCATACATGAGACCTGGGTTCCATCTCTGGCACCATATATGACCCTCCACAAGCACCATCAGGAGTCACCACCAAACACCGAGCTTGGTTACTCTCTGCACTGCACAATATGGCCCCAAAACCAAGAGGAAAAATAGTACAATGGAAATCTTGAAAAATTGACTGAGAGCTAAATTGGTTTTGAGTGTAAGTTCATATCCTAAGTGTTTTGACTGAGGGCAACAGTTCTGCTTAAAGCAGCACTCTTGTCCTGGCATCAAAACTTCTGTATGTGTCAAATTTGTTAAAATTTCTGTTATTTATAGAGGAACTATATGTTGAATTAGAAGCACTTTTTTGTGTGTTGTTGAAGAAATGGCCATACATAGTGCATATAATTATGTGGGAAAGTTTGATTTCTTGTCGAGTTTTTATTTGCAGCTTTTGATAGCAGAGACAAAACATAAGTATAGGAAATATAAGCATATGGTTATGCATATTGTTCATGATGTCAATGAGAATGTTGACAAGAATGAAGAACTTCCTGGCATGTTTCCCACTATAAACAACTCAGCGAACAGTTTGTTGTAGTATATTGAAAAAATGTCTATTAAGTATCATGTAAGTATATTACTATTAGGACATGTGAGTCTGTGTTTATGTCATTGTTATGAAATGTATTTCCACCATTGCACAGCTTTTTCAGGACCTGAAAATTGGTCTGTTTGTTGGTACGTTTGGTAAGAATGATTAACTTTGTGAAGAATGATTAACTTTGTGGGCAAAGATCGAAAATGAGCATATTATGGATCAATACCTGGAGCTCCTCACCAGCTTGATCAGTGGTGATCAACTTCCCTTCATGAGCCTAGGTACCTGGGTGAAGGCAAGTACTCACCCCAAATAGGAATCCCACTGCATAAAGAATCAGGATTTTCTGAGTGAAACAGTAGTCATCTTCCTTTAGGATGCTACGTAACCTCATTACTCACTCCCCACAAGTTTCCTTGTCCTCAAACCTGTGAAAATATTTTGCACTAAACCATGTACATGACTTGAATTTTTTAATGCAAAATGTGACATTAACATGGAGAGGAATGGGTAAAGGGTGTCATTTGGATAGACTGGTGACTAAAAATTTGAAGCTCAGTGCCATGAGGCATATATATGTATATATATGCATATAGAAAAATGAAATGCATTTCTAAACGGAAATACTGTAATAGTAACACTGCACTGTCCTCCTGTTCATTGATTTGCTCAAGCGGTTACCAGTAACGTCTCCATTGTGAGACTTGTTGTTACTGTTTTTGGCATATTGAATATGCCACGGGGAGCTTTCCAGGCTCTGCCATGCAGGTAGGATACTTTTGATAACTTGTCGGGCTCTCCAAGAGGGATGGAGGAATCGAACCCGGGTCGGCCGCGTGCAAGGCAAACACTCCAGCCTCTGCTATCGCTCCAGCCCACCGTAAGATTATAAATGTAAATCTATGCAATTGATTTCATATTTGAAAAGAAAAAAAAAGGTAGCAGGCTTCCTTTTGCAAATCAAGCATTAAGTTCCCAAAGAAAATCCTGGTCAGGGCCAGCAAGATAGCACAGCAGATAAGATGCTTGTTTTTCTGCACAGCCAACTTGGGTTCCATCCCGTCACCACATATACTTCCCTGAGCACTGACAGGAGTGATCCCTGAATACAGAGCCAGGAGTAAGCCCTGAGCACCACTGGGTATGGCCCCAAAATCAAGAAAAAAAAAGAAAAGAAAATCATAGTCATTGATTATTGCTACATGCAATTTGAATTTTTTTAAATATTGGCTGATTGATTTTGGTTTGGGGCTGTCATACCTAGTAGTGCTCAGAGCTTTCACCTGGTTCTGTGCTTAGGCATCACTCCTAAAAGTGCTTAGTGGACTTTTTAATGTTTAAATTAAAACTATTCCTAATACAATTTTAATACTTTATATTATACTATCACTTCATAAGGGAAGGTAAAGGTAAAGGTAAAGGCCCTCCCGTTGATCGTCGATTTGCTCGAGCGGGCCCAGTAACGTCTCCATTGGAGACTTTGTTGTTACTGTGTTTGGCATATCGAATACTCTCGGTAGCTTGCCGGGCTCTCGGAGAGGGGCAGAGGAATCGAACTCGGGTCGGCCATGTTGGCCGCTTGTAAGGCGAACGCCCTACTCGCTGTGCGAAAATTGATTATATTTATAGTAATTTATTTTTCTTACCACAGCATAATTTACTTAATTAAAATACCTCTCTCTCTTCTCTAGACTCTACTAGAATATTTAATATCCTATAGGAAATTAGAATTTGTGAAATCTACATTAGATAATAATCTATCCATTTCTCTCCTTACCTCTACTCTGAACCCTCTAAGAGAAGGAAATGCTTGACAATTTATTATCAAACTAGACAAGTCATTGAAGGAAGATAACACTAAATGTATTACTCTGTACCCAGCATAATCTATAGTAGCTATTCAGTTAGTGTTGATTAAATTAGTGTATGAGTAAATGTACCTCAGTTGAATACAGATTCAGACCCACTATTGGGATAGAAGTTGTATTTAAATCACATGTAGTTTGGGCCTGAGCAACAGTCTAGCGGGTAGGTCCTTTTGCCATGCATGAAGTTGACCTGGGTTCAATCCCCAGCACCCCAAGTAGGCCCCTGAGTCCCAGGGGTGATCCCTGCACATAGAGCCAAGAGTAAGCCCTGAGCCCCACCTGGTATAGCCAGTAAACCAATAATAATAATAATAAGTTGCATGCAATTTTATAATCAAGATTGATCATTTTCTGGGACAGAGAGATAGCTCAAAGGATGGGACTCATGCAAGAGGCCTGGGTTTGATCCCTGCTACTTCATGGTCCTTTGAGCACTGCCAAGAACAACTCCTAAGGACCAAACAGGAAGTAGCTTCCTGAGCACTCCCAGATGGAGGCCCAAAGGAGCAAAAAGAAAAAGAAAAGTCATTTTCCTTTCCTATCAAGTTCTGCCTCTTGACCTTTTTATATCTTAGATGCCTACACAACAGCTGAAGTGGTCTACTCGTGGACACTGGGGAAGAACAAATCCGTGGAAGTGGCGCAGGACGGCTCTCGTCTCAACCAGTATGACTTGCTTGGCCATGTTGTTGGGACAGAGATAATCCGATCAAGTACCGGTAATTATTTTCCTTACCAAGCATTTACATTTTCCCCTTCCTTTGATTGTTGCAGGACACTGAAGTGCACACACTTGGTTGCCTTGTGCCAGGGGCCACGCACACTTGGTTGTGATACTTGCACACTTGAATGCACTGTGGCTCGTACTCTGCTTTCAGCACTGGGAATCACAGCAGAGCCGGGGATGACACTCGCTGTGTGTGTACAGTGTGACTTTGACACCTCAGCTGTACAAACCAGATGCTCTGCCACTGGGCCACACCCCTGAGCCCAACAAGCATGGTTTTCAACCTGTTCTAAAATGCTTATAATAACTTGTATAATCCTCCAAGCAGTTTGGTTATGTAGATACTCTTGTCCTAAGGTCACTTGGGCTTAGAGATGTTCAGTCATTTCCTCTGTGTCACAGATTTGTAATGTCAGAGACAAGATGTGATCCTAGAGAGATTGGCTCCCAAGCTCTTAGTTTAAAAAACCATTAAGCTGCCTTTTGAGGCAGTGGAGTACTAGATAAGGGAATGAAGGTTGAACTGTGGTAGAATGGAAGGAAGAAGGAAGCTATGATGACGATAGAGCCACATTTTAATTCCAGAGTTTTCATCAAGAGAAGTAAAGTTGCCAGTTGCCAGTGCTAGAGTGGCAAATTAGTAAGCCCTGAAGAGTCCAGTAACGATCCGTGAACTTCTTTCTTGGGGGAGCGGGGATTTGGCCATACTCAAGGCCCAAGTCTGGGGCAGAATCTGTGATATGGGACAGCTGTTGACTTATAAACAGGAGCTCAGGAATGCTAGCAGTGGGAACTGCTCACAGCAGCTGGCAAGGGGACCTGAGGTGTCGTCTTTGAAGCTCATACTAGCACCATGCCTCCTCCCCTCTGCAAGTATTAGCTTAGAATCTTTTTAATTAATTTTATTTCTTATTGTAATGAATCACCGTGAGATACAGTTACAGTTTTACAAATTTTCATCATTATGTTTCAATCAATGTTCAAGAACCCATCCCTCCACCAGTGCCCACTCTCCACAACCAATGTTCCCAGTGTTCCTCCCACGACCCCCACCCTTTCCCACCCTCTGCCTCTGTGGCAGGCACATTCCCTCTTCCTCTATCTCTCCTTTAGGGTGTTATGGTTTGCAATATAGGCACTAAGCAGCCACCATGTCTGGTCCATAGTCTACTTTCTTTTATTTTATTTATTTATTTTTAATTTTTAATAGTGAGACATCATGAGGTACAGTTGCAGACTTACACATTTTTGTGCTTGGGTTTCAATTATACAATGATCAAATACCCATCCCTCTACCAGTGCCCATTTCCCACCACCACGGTTCCCAGTATCCCTCCCACCCCCCATCCCCCCCAACCCACCCTGCCTCACAGTCTACTTTCTAGCTTAGAATTTTATTCTTTCCCCAGTACACAAAATTGGGCGTGGCAGGAATGGACATAGAGAGAAGCAAAACCTTTATTCAACACCAAAAATAGGAGCAGTTTATCTAGCACTCTAGCTATTTTTGTATGTTACAGCTAAACATTTCCATCGCTACGACCATGCTTCTGGTCCCCAGGTGACTTATGTGAGCTGGGAGGAGAGAGACACCACTTTCTCCCGATCCACCTCTGTCACCCCATGGCTGGCTGGGAAGCCTAGGAGTGATAAAGTCTGCAGTGAACCCCTGCACGGCATGACCTCAAGTCCTGGCAGCCCCACTAGGCAGCTGTCAAGTCATACCCGCCATCCACTTGTTGCACAAGGCATGGGAGTTAATCTCCATCTCCCACTTTCTCGAGGACCCTTGGACTCTGGCTGGAGTGAGGAATTGCTCTTTCCCAGAAAGGAAAATCAGTCGTGGACCTTACTCGGGGCTGTCGGGTCTTTCACCTTTCTCACAGAATTTCAGGAGGAGACAAGCAGTGAAGTAAAATCAGATTTGATTTGGAGGTGTTGAGGAAAGGAAGGAAGCAGAGAAGGGAGAGAAAACAACGTGCTCAGGAGAAAACGTGGCTTCTCCAGAGGCAGAGAGAGCCCTGCATGGCCCGAGACAGGCTTTCTATAAGGCTGTGCTTCAGGTTGCCTTGGCCTGCACTTTTCTGTGAGGTGTGAGAGTTACTCAGGATTGTCGTTCAAGTAGAGCTTTTACCTTGTTTTTCAGTGAATCTCCTTCAGGTCCTCATAGCAGTCTTTGTCTCTGCTGACGTCTGTCTTCGCTGTAGGGGTCCAGCCTCCTCAAGGTCGGCTGCTGGCTCCAGGTGAAGGTCTTATCATTAGGCTCTCCTTCCTGTGCTCACAAGGTGGGCGTTGTGCAGCCTCGGGGCTATTAGTTTTGTTACTTCCCAGGAATTCCAGTGCTGTGGGGCCCTTCCTTGTCTACCTGCCTGTCTCACTTCCCATGAAGTCACAACATGTCAGATAGTCTAACTCAGAAGTAGTTCTTCTTGGGAGCACCAAATAAAGGGTATTGGGAGGATCCGCCCAGGATGGGAGATGCATGCTGAAAGTAGACTATAGACCAAACATGATTGCCACTCAATGCCTCTTTTGCAAACCACAACACCCTAAAGGAGAGAGAGAACAAAAGGGAATGCCCTGCCACAGAGGCAGGGTGGGATGGGGGGGGATGGGGGTGGGAGGGATGCTGGGATCCGTGGTGGTGGGAAATGAGCACTGGTGGAGGGATGGGTATTTGATCATTGTATAATTGAAACCCAAGCACAAAAATTTGTAAGTCAACAACTGTACCTCATGGTGTCTCACTAATAAAAATTTTAAAAAAGGAAGTAGTTCTTCTTTCCAAGGAGACAGAACAATTCCTGCAGGGATGCTAGCAGAACTTCCCCAGGTGGCTTATGTGAAGCTCCTTAGAGAGGTGTCCCCTGGAGAAGGAAGTAGACACTCCCTTTCTACGCACCTCTGGCCCCCTGCAAGCACCTGTCGACAGTCTGCGTGCAAACCTGCAGGCCTGCCACTTGGTCCCGTCAACCCTGAGAGGCTCTTGTCCCCGTTTCTCAGGTAGCCATGAACTCAGGCTGGAATGAGGAATTGTTCTGCAAAAAGCAAAGTGGATCCCGATCTTACCCAGACCTTAGGGTGCTAGGACCTTGCCCTCCCTCACAGAACAGAATTGCAGGAGGAGAGGAAGAGTGGAGGATAACTAGGTTTGGGTGGGGGACATAAAGAAAGGGCAGGAGACATCCCTTAAGAGATCGCTCAGGGGAGAAGTAACATTTTGGGGGCAGGTGTGTTGTGGATATTCCTCAGACCACACTTTGTCCCATCTTCTTTATGAGTGGGAGTGAATGGGGCTTTTCCTGGGGAAGGCCTTCGCCTTCTGGCGCTCCGTTCTTGAGTTCCGAGAGCAGATGAGAAGACTTCCTGGCTCCTCTCTTCGGGGGTCCATCTGTGCTTGGCCCTGTAATTCTGCATCGGAGGGGCTTCCCACACTCTGGACATGGGTCTGCAGTGTCAGAGGACTCCATGCCTCAGGAGCAATTTAGATTTCTGCAGTTACCCCGACATACATTACCAGAGACCCTGTCTTCCTGATGTTAACAATGGGTGCCTTAGGAGTTCTTCTAAGTCTTCAGTATTTCTTTATATGTATATATATTTCTACATATATATATTCTAAGTCAGTATTTCTTTATATTTATCTTATAAATATATATTTATACATATTTTATAAATATATTTTATAAATTTATAAAATAATTTTACACATATAATTATATGTGTTTATGTATAAAATTTAAAAATTTTTCCTTAGAATTTTGATACCCAGGAAGTTATGTCATATTAAAGATTTTATACAGTTTACTCTTTTTTTTATATTTTTATTAGTGAAACACCATGAGGTATAGTTGTAGACTTAAAATTTTTGTGCTTGGGTCTCGATTATACAATGATCAAATACCCATCCCTCCACCAGTGCCCATTTTCCACCACCACGGGTCCCAGTATCCCTCCCACACCCCTATCCCCCCATCCTACCCTGCCTCTGTGAAAGGGCATTCCCTTTTGTTCTCTCTCTCCTTTGGGGTGTTGTGGTCTGCAAAAGAGGCATTGAGTGGCAGTCATGTTCAGTCCATAGTCTACTTTCAACATGCATCTCCCATCCTGGGAGGATTCTCCCAACACACTTTATTTGGTGCTCCCTTCTCTATCTGAGCTGCCCTTTCCCCTAGAATGCCTGGATGACCTCTAGGCCATGTAGTAATCCTCCTGGTACTGATCTCAGCTATTCTTGGGTATTAATCTCCTGTTTTGTTACTATGTCCCCCAGATGAATGTAATCTTTCTATGTCTATCCCTCTCCTTCTGACTCATTTCGTTTAGCATGATACTTTCCATGTAGTGCCACATGTATGTAAATTTCATGACTTCATTTTTTCTAACAGCTACATAGTACTCCATTTATACAGTTTACTCTTACTATGAAACAGTACTTAATTATCCATATAGCCAAAGTGACCTCTCTTTTTACTAAACTATTATTTAAAGACTCCATGGTTGCAAATAAAACTTAGCTCTTTGAAAATCAAGGCCAGGTTTATTTCCTGATTAAATAGCAGATGTAAAGTGACATAAGCATATGAGATTACTTTGATAACACGTAATGTATGTATTTCCTGGGCAGGCTACTCAAAGTAATCAGTTTGCTATTAAAAAGTTGGTCACAATCCATTCTACTTTTGCTCCTCAGTAGACAAGAGGCACCACAGTTGGTCTTACATACACATATTACTGAAAACTGAGAGATCTGGGCGTGGATTTGCGGAAAGAAAGGACGAGAAACGAAGAGTCAGGCTGAAATGCGCTTTACTGGAAGAAGGAGCTTGAAAGAGACTAGTAAACTCCACCCCATCTGTGTATTAGGGTGAATTTCTAGGGATGGATGGGGTGAGGGGTATGAGTTTAATTTGTACAAGGCCCCTTTCTGCCCAGTTAGAAAGTTGGCTGACAGCAGAGCCTGTCAGATGAGGGTCTTTGTGTGAGATCTGA